TTTCCTTTCACACAAACCTGAAATGAACTTTCACACATAGTGGTCTGGGGGCTACACTGATGATTCTCGCCCCATACCACACCACATTCTGTCTGTGTTTGTAGCTTAGGGATGAAACACAGACAGCAAAATCTAGATATTCCTTTTCACATATTCACAACACATGTCCTTACCTTTGTCACAAAATATCCATCTATATAACTATCTTTTCTTTTGTGTCCCTTTATCATTGGTCACTACTAGTCGCAACCGTTACTAGTTAATAATTACCTCTTTTTTCAACAAATTCCTTCAAAAAAACCCAATTCTAACTCCTCCCATTCAACGTCCAACATACACATACAACTTTTAGTCATTCCTCTATCAACAATTTCACTTAATTGCATTTAGTATGCTTCATTCTATTCCTATTTCTATTTCATCGCATTCAAGCGGGACCTATGGGTGCCCCAAGACTCAATTTAAAATCTTGTGGTCGCAAATCGACATAGGATTTGGCCGTGAATTCAGCCCCCTAACTTGGCTGGTTGGCGAAATCGCTTTTTGCTACAAATACCTTTGACAAGTTCGAAATTTCGATACAGGAATAAGCGAAAGGATATTTTACGTCTACACATCCCCAACAAGTATCCTTTTAAAATTAAGGCATTTTAGTTATTTTTTGGCTCCCCATCCACTGGCTTACAGTTCCTTTGGGCCGTTCACTTCCTTTAATTTTATGATTCGCCCTTTTAATGGCCACATTTACCATTTCAAATAAGTGTAGGTTAATAATCTGCATATATCCTGAAGAAATACAACAATTTTACCTCTGCATTGCTGAAGCGCTCACGGTCGGGTGCTGGAGCTGGATTTGAATGCTGTGGCTGAGGCCGGTTCAACGAGTTCTCAAGTGAACGCTGCGCAACTGACTGCCGTGCCGTAGGTGCCATCGTCTAAAAAAATTTGCAAATATCAGTGAAGGTCTCAAAATGAGCAATTTTTAGGCTCCAAGAACGCCAAACTCCTTCAGTTCAGGCGAAGAATGGAGTGCAGCCTTTTTGAAAAGCATATTTATTTAAGAAACAAAACCTGAATATTTCACAAACAAAGCTAAAGATAGGCTGTGGATGGCGCTAGATTGCTGTTAAATGTGGTGGGATTAAGTCCAAATGAGAAGAGGGTAAGGTCATGCTTTACACGAAAGGCATCAGATGCAACTTCGAAATGATTTGACAGAAAACCGAAAGAAAAATTTGACAAAAAAAAAAAAACGCAAAAAATTTAGCCAGAGAGTGATAACTTAGTTGATGCGCACGAAATTAAACAAAGTAAGGCAAAATTTGCTAAACTCTGTATTGCTATGGCTTGTACATTGAGATAAAGCAACCTATTTGAGAAAGGTCTGTCAAACTTTGGAACGCTGGCAATCGGCATGGTAAATGTTTGCTTAAAAAAAAACGTGGAAAATATGATCATATGTCGTTTCAAAAAGAAATAAACTAGCCAAACAGAAACAAAACTAAGTTGTCATATAATATGTCAAATAATGATTCATGGTTTTTTGTTAGAAATGGCATAAGGAATAACTGCGTCACTGTGATGCAATACCTCAGTCCCCGATTCAACCTCTGGACACCCTAACCCCGTTTAAAGTTTTGCAGTCTTAGTGATCTCTGGCCACTGCGGTATAAAAGAACTTCTCCCAATCTCTGGGATCCAGAGAGCTATTCCTTACGACTAACACTGTTCTGGGGGACTTCGGTTTCCCAGAACTTCGCAGCCCTTTCTTGTGCTTTCGTTCTTATCATACTTTGCGTTGTATAACTTTAGTTAATGTATATAATGATCAATACATATACACGTATATATGTATATACATAAGTAATTGGGCGTTTCCACACACACACACACACGCACGCACACACACACACACACACGCATACACACACACACTAGTCTAGCAAATTACCTCTAGGGTCGCGATAAAGCCGAAAAGCGTTAATTCCATTTCAAAGAATTAATAAAAACTGAACTTTATTTTTTGAAAAATCATACTCCAAATATACGAAAAAATGGGTCTAGAGCGAGGGTGAGCATGAACTTAGGTGGGCTTAAGAATTAGGTTGCTTGCTCTAGCTCGCTGACAAGCACAGGACAAAAAGTACTGAATATCAATTCGTGACATGACGGGACCACATTGCAACGTTGATAATACAGATGCAAAAATGTCGAAAAATTAAATATTTGGCAACTTGCCAAAACTGGGCAAATTCCGGCAAAACTTAAGTACATCCCTTTCCATCAGGTACCGGAGAACACAAACGAGGAAAAGAAGAAAAAAAGTGACAATTCGGAATAAAAGGCAAATTTCGCTAAGTGTTAAGCATACTGATAAGTTTAAACAACAATTAGCAATCAAAAACGATAGTTTTTTCATAATGGAAAATAAAAATCAAAAGATACGAAGAATAACCTTGTCTCGGCTAACTGGTTCACGATGTTGTCTAATACGCTCTTGGAAATCTTGGTATTGTCGCAGGCGCTCTCGTGCTTCCTCGGAATTCAATTCGTTCGCCTGAAAACACAAAATTACAAGCCTATTTTTTACTAAATCATGTGAAGCTATTTAAATCTTTTAATCCAAACTAAAAAGATGAATCAAACGCGCATAAATGCAAAACACTCTGCCACAGCAACACTGCTTGTGCAGGCCTGTGCAAGCACAGAAAGTAGATTTGGCCTCAATTCATCTGAGGTCATAATTCGGGAACTCTCCAAATTTGTGACCCCCTCCCCGCAC